AATCCACTACTAGAAAAATATTATAAAACTAATAAACTACTATAGCATAAATGGAGATATTAGAGAAAGATGTAGAGAAATGGAGAATGATATTCTCATGATTCCAACTAATACAAAAGGTCTTACCAAAGGGTGTCAATGTACCTCTATATATAGGTACTACAAGATTAAACGTACATCAATTCTATTAAACACCCACTACTACAAGAATATGAAAAAACCTATGAAACGATTTCTCCACTACATGAATAGATTTATAAATTGTAACTTCTATACATAATGTAATCATAAATCAAGAATTAATCCTCTTGGGAATACAAAGGGACATCCATACTTTTAATTGTTTCATAACACTCCCCCTTGGATGTCCATTACACAAAGAATATGTCTCATTAAAATCTTACCAGGGAAAAATCCATCGGGACAAAAACCCTAGTGAAGGAAAAAGAGTACAATATTCTTGTGTATTAATTTCTCCCCCTGATGCAAACATTATTTGAGATCTTTTAATCATCGCATTCCAATATTCTTCACCAATTGCACTGAAATATGGTACTTCAGGACCAAGTATCTCTTCATCTTCCTCTCGCGATCTAAAAGGATCCGTATTAGGATCTAATGATCTGACGACCATTGGAGTACTTAATGTATATGTTTTATCCATATAAAATTGCTTTAATACTTTCTGGATATATGCAGTTTGGTAGACAAAAATTCCACTCTTCAAATGTTTAATTTGTAAACCAAGGAATTTTATTTCTCCAAAATCTTTGATATCAAATTCCTTCTTCAAATATTCAACATTATTTTGAATCTCTTCAGGAATTCCAATAAGATTTAGATCATCAATATATATATATAGCAATGATCACAAAATTTGATCCATTTTTCTTGATAAAAACACATGGACATATTGAATCATTTGTATAACCTTTTTTAACTAAACATTCATTGAAGTGGTTATACCACATATGTCCAGATTGTTTGAATCCATACAAAGACCTTTGTAATTTAATAGAATAAATATCTTTAAGATTTGATTTGCATGCTTCAAACATGTTGAATTCTTCGAGAATTCTCATATAAATATCATTTTCAAAAATTTCAATATAAATATGCAATAACAACGTCCATTAAACGCATCTCTAGTTTTCATGTACTGCAAAACTCACAAGATATCTAAATGTGATGGCATCCACTACAGGTGAATACGTTTCATCATAATCAAATTCAGGCCTTTGTGAAAATCCTTAAGCTACTAGCTTTACACCTTTAGGTGTTTGGACTACAAGTCCAAAAACTTTTCTTTTAATCAATAAATTCAATTTAGATTGGATCGCATCTTTCCACTTTGCCCAATCATTTCTATATCGACATTCATCAACCGGTCTAGATTCATGATCTTCGTCCTCTGCCATAATATCAAGTGCTACATTATATGCGAAAATACTATCAATAATTATTTCTTTTCGGTTCCAACTTTTCCTTGAAGTGACAAAATTTATTGAATTTTCTATAATTTCATTCTCTTCAAGAATTGGCTCTTTAGGACCGACCTCTTTAGGAGGTTGAATTTTGTCACTAATTGTTGATTCATCTACTTCTCTTTTCTTTCGAGAATTTTTATCTTTGGAACCAAGAGGTCTCCCACGCTTCAAGCGTGCTTTAGACTCATTAGCACTTGTAATTTGTCCTTCAGGGACATCAATTTTAATCGGAGCATTTTCAGCAGGAATATGTGATTTAATAATTCTTCTGGAGTCATTAAATGCATCCGGTAATTGATTTGCAATTTTTTGCAAATGTATAATCCTTTGAACTTCCAGTTCACATTCTTTAGTACGAGAATCAAGGAAATTTAACGATTTTTTCCAAGTAATTTCCTATTTAGGTTGATTTTTATCTCCCCCTAATGTCGGAAAATGTGATTCATCAAAATGACAATCTGCAAATCTCGCAGTAAATAAATCACCTGTTAATGGTTCCATATACTTAATGATTGAAAGTGATTCATATCCGACATATATCCCCAATCTTCTTTGGGGGCCCAATTTACTACGTTGGAGCGGTGCAATTGGGACATATACCGTACAACCAAATATTCGTAAATGAGAAATATTGGGCTCATAACCAAAAGTTAATTGTAGGGGAGAATAAGTATGATAACTTGTCGGTCTAATTCTCACAAGTGTTGCTGCATTTAAATGGCATGTCCCCAAGCAAATGAAGGAAGTTTCGACCTCATCAACAATGGTTTAGCAATTAATTGTAGCCGTTTAATAAGTGATTCGATTAGACCATTTTGTGTGTGAACATAAACTACAGGATGTTCAACAGTTATTCCAATGGACATACAATAATGTCAAAAGTATATGACGAATATTCACCAGTATTATCTAGATGAATTTTCTTTATTGGATAATCTGGAAATTGTGCTCGCAATTTAATTATTTAAGCAAGCAATCTCGCAAACGCCAGGTTGTGAGTAGATAATAAACATATATGTGACCATCTAGTTGATACATCAAATAACACCATAAAATATCGAAATGGTCCACATGGTGGATCTACAGGTCCACATATATCACCATGAATTCGTTCTAGAAATGTAGGAGATTCAGTCCCAACTTTAACTTGTGATGGTCTAATAATTAATTTTCTTTGAGAACAAGCAACACAAGAGAATTCATTGGCTTTTAATACTTTTTTATTTTTCAATGAGTGGCCATGTGAATTCTCAATTATTCGTCTCATCATTATAGATCCAGAATGTCCGAGACAATCATGCCAAACCATAAAATCATTGGGATGTGTAGACTTCTGATCTACTAGGTGATAAATTTCAATTGCACTAATTTGTGCATAATATAAGCCAGAAGAAAAAGAAGGTAATTTTTCTAATATGCATTTTTGCCTAGAAATGATACTTATGATTAATAAAAATTCACCATTTGTCTCAGTCATTGTCTCGATATGATATCCATTTTCGCGGATATCTTTAAAACTCAATAAGTTTCTCTGAGACTTGGAAGAGAATAGTGCATTATTTACAATAATTTTAGTCCCTTCAGGGAGAAATATAATGGCTCTTCCGGAGCTTTCAATCAATTTTGCACTACCACTAATGGTATTAACGTTTGTCTCTCCCATTTTCAAACAAGAAAAATATTTTTTATTTTTCAATATGGTGTGCGTAGTAGCACTATCAATGAGACAAATATCATCATCACCATTATTTAATTCCAAATATTTGACATCCATTTCTTCTTCAGAAAGAAAATTCAATTACTATCATAAATTAAATCAAGCATCATACACCTTCAGGGTGTTTAAAGAAATTGGCCATGTAAATATGCTATTATAATTTTGATTCCTTATATGTATTTCGAGACATTTATCTTCAGGATCCTTACTTTTTTGTCCTCATCATTATTATCTCACTTCAAGTGGTAACTTTTTCTTTTATCATGGTAAATTACATATTTACCAAAATTATAGTCATGGCATCAACAATAACTAGTAAATTGAAATTTAGTCACATTCACTTCTGGGAATGGACTAGAACTAGCATATAATAAGTACAAAATACTTCTCAAATTTTTTCTCAATATTGCTACTACATGAGCATATTCGAGAAATTAATTGTAAAGAATATCAGTTTCAATATATCTTATGAGTAAAATTTTTTGACACAATTTCAACTAAGAAGTAATTCTGAAAATTGGAGGATTATCTTCTTGTAGCCATAGGTAAATTTATCATACCAGACTTTTGAAATAATGACCATCTTCTGGTAGCCAAATTTTTTTGTTAAAGAACGACCATCTTCAGGTGATCGAAACTTTTTCTTTAAATATTTCAAAGGACAAGTAGATCCTCAAATATAATTAATTTTCTATAATAGTATCTCCAAAATTCATTGCATCAGAATATAAGTATTTATAACAAATAATTCAAAAGATAAATAAGGAGAATTAAAAGGAGAAATATTACCTCAAAAATGTCAAACAGTATATATTTGTGTTTAGTGATTGCTCAGCAATAGGCACTTGTATTTTTCGATTATTCAAATGTTAGCCATAAGAAATTGAAATAAGTTTGTAGGTCAGAGATTTACCTCAATCAGTAGATAGAAGTTGCTGAAAAAAACACGGGCAGAATCTCATATTTCACTTTTACTCAAGGTAGAGGCTTCATTTTCACCTTTTACTCAAAAGTAGAGACTCGTACTGATAACGTGTTATAAAACTAATAAACTACTATAGCATAAATGGAGATATTAGAGAAAGATGTAGAGAAATGGAGAATAATATTCTTATGATTCCAACTAATACAAAAGGTCTTACCAAAGGTGTCAATGTACCTCTATATATAGGTACTACAAGATTAAAGGTACATCAATTCTATTAAACACCCACTACTACAAGAATATGAAAAAATCTATGAAACGATTTCTCCACTACATGAATAGATTTATGGATTGTAACTTCTATACATAATGTAATCATAAATCAAGAATTAATTCTCTTGGGAATACAAAGGGACATCCATACTTTTAATTATTTTATAACAAAAAAGTTGTTTTTGTGACTTGTTAATGGTAGTCATAAAAAGGTCCAAAGAGTCACAAAACTTTTTGTGACTACATTGTGACATGTATATAAGAGTCACGGATTTAATAGTCACAAATTTTTTATGACTTGAATATAAAAGTCACATTATCAATTGTTACTTGCAAGAATACTTTTTATGACTTGCATTTTGAATGTAATAAAAAGTCAAAAAAACTAGAATGTATTTGTGACATGTAAATAATAGTTATAAAAGATCTTTTGTGTCATTTTTGTTGGTCATAAGTTCTATTGGGACCTACTAAGAGTGAGACCTAAAAGCCTTGTGACTAGCTAGATTGTAAGTCACAAAAACATTTTCTCTATTTTTTTCCTTTTTCAACCTGTTTTTATTTTTATTCTTTTTGAAAGCCCAAAACTAGAAAGAAATTCATTCATAAGTCTCACGTGATGGACAAAGAAAAAGACAAAATTTATTTACAGCAAAATTTATGGCTGGTCTACCATAATGAAACAAACTATACATATCATAACAAAGCAAACACTCAAAAGTCAAACAATCACTGTTTCTCCAAACGACACAGGCAACATGCGCTGCATTAGTTATCATTGAGGAAGCTAGTCTAACAATCACTCAAAAAGTTATAATCTTTCATTTGCTTCACGTGTTCTTGAAGCTGATAAACTTGAGGTACTCTGCACTCACTGGAATCTGTAGAGAATCATAGTCTATGGTCCTTGGACAAGCAAGATATTGAAAAAGTACCCAACTTTGCTGCTAGAGATTTGGCTGATGTCTCAGTTAAGGCATCTCAAATTGAGTGCAGCTAGTTATTTGCCTGATCTTGAGAAAGTAGAAGATAACATGCAAGGAAATCATTGGTTTTACATAATCTTCAAACACTTGCAGCAATCAGAACAGCAAGTTGCAACAGGGAGGTCTTTAACGGCTTTCCTGATATACAAAAACTAGTAATTTGTGAAACTAAAAAAGGCTTCAAAAATCATGAGGGATTTCCCAGGAATCTATTTGTGATTTGCATCAACTCAAAGCTCTGAAATGCTCTTTTTATGCGAAGAGCATATAAACAATGCGATTGCCACATTGGAATGATCAACTACTCATTCGTTCACCCAATACTCTATGCAAGTTTCAGCAACAAAGTCATGAAGAAGGGAAGAGAAAAGCCAAAAGTACTTACCAAATCTATCACAAGTTTAATCCTCCTTAATTAGTAGACTCAGCTGGACCCTTCAAGATATTAGTTTATATTAGATGCATCAATGAAATGAAATACAACCATGACAACTTTCTCAAATTTCGTTACCTGTCGACTAGGAAAAGCACCAAAAATCCAATCTGGAAACATGTGTAAGGCATTGACATCCAAATGTGACATTAAGAAACTAATGGTTTTCTGCATATACTCAAACTGTGCACTAAAATCTGCTCTTATCTCTTCTCTCGATTGATGCGGTGTCATTCCTCTAACTTGCTATAATACTTCCTCTCGTACCTCCTCAACAATCTGATTTTTGATTTCTTGAATAATCGCCTTCCTATCATTCATTGGTACATGCCTTTGGGTCACAGAGGTATACTTCCCCATGCGTCTAACGTAACCTCGTGTGTCCAGCCCCCTATGCTCAACCCACACATTGTTCTTGAATGTCTCAGTTTGCTCTTCCTCAAGCACTTGATACAAGCTGTCTTTAAGTTGTGTCTACAAGCAATTCATTAAAACATGAAATCCATAAGAATAAACAATGTCACTGCTGACAAAAAAAACAAGAAAATGATGACAAAAGAATAGGTAATCTTACAATTAGATTACGTGTATCTTCATCTTTGGCAGGCTCACATGTAACACAAAAAAGGCTCACAAGAGATGTATCCATACCTTCGACTTCCATCTAGGCCACTAGCATGATTTAGAACACCATTTGCAAATGCATAGAGAACATGAAATTCAACAGCTAACAAGGTACCTTTCTGTTTATATTCTTGAAGCTAGTCCTTCCCGTCCTACGAGGAAAATACAATTTTGTCCTACTATCTTTGTTTCTCCTTGCAAGTGCCTACATGATCATCCAATTTAATGCCAACGGGAAAATAATAGAAAAATATTAGAATGTGATAAAGATTGTAGTTTTCAGCATAGATTTTCAATAGCAATAGTCATAATACATTGTAAACTAGTAATTAACTTATAAAATAACCATATTCTGCTCCAAATTATTTCTTTTTTACATGTTTGCAATCATGTACACATAAATTACTTGTTAATAGTAGTTGCTTGCATAGATTTGTTATCATACTACTAATCATGTACACATAAGCTATTTACTCTAAAATGTGAGTCAAAAGCTGAACATTAAAATAACCTGAATTTTCTCCTTTCTCCAATATGAAATCAAGAACTTCCATTGTTGAGGTTCAATCCTTTCATCAGGTACTTGTGCTATTCTCTCAATATTGTCTTTGTTTGCTAGATACATTTGCTTCACTCGGTATTTCCAATTCTTTCACTTAATGCCAATACTTAAAATCAATTATCTAGTTTCATTTGGCAAATCAGTATTGACCTATATAAAATATGTTATTAAATAGATATTTATCTAAAGACTTGAAAATTCACACATTTTTAAAGCAACAACTAAACTGACCTGCACCTCCCTCCAAAGATCATCTAGAATACACTTCTATCCAAGACGGGTAAGTCAAAGATACCCTATAGCCATTTCAGGCCAAGATTCCAAGGTTACTATATAATGACCCTTCAACTGGTCCTACAATCTCTCCATCCTCAGTTAAATACACAATATGCTTCTCTTTTGTTTTCCATTTGTTGGACTGTTTAGCTGGACCCCTTACACCTTTATTCTCATTCATCTCATTCATTGAGGATGCACTTGCACTTGTGCTAGCTCCTGTTTAGTATTTTCAGATTGAACCATTCACATAGAAGTGAAAATTTTGTAATCAGCCATTTTATATCACACATCCTCTAGAAACACAAAAAAAGATGTTGAACCTGATTTGAAACTTTTTTCCATACCTAGATTATTATTGTCATTTCCAGATGAGGCCTGGGAAAATGATTATAATTGGCTATGCATAAGTCCAACTTGAAGTGTAAGCATCTTCGATTGAGACTGAGATCTAATCACATGATGCTAAATAGGTTGAGATATAGAAGCATTAGAGAAAAGTGCACTTCCCTAATTATGTATCACATCAGCCATAGTGATGCTTTTTGCTCTTTTTTAACCGCCCATGATAGCAAATCCTAGACAACTGCAGCAATACCACATCCAAATCCCAGACAAACAAAAAAAGGCCTCATGATTGATTCCAAATTTGACATAGACCAGAATATGCAGTGCTCTATCATCTTGGACATGGCATAAGAAATTTTGTATGTTCAAAGAAATTAACCAGAACAAGAATTGTGGACCAAATCTTCGAAATAAAAACTTTGTGTGCAATAACATGGAACTGAATTTTGATCAGTTAACAAGCTGAAATTATTAATTAGGTAATAAACACACTAGTACAGAACTTACCAGTACAGAACTCTCTTAGGTAGTTAGATATGAGTCGGGATGACCACCCAAGTATATGAAATTCCAGCACTTTAATTTGTCCTGTTCAATCTAAAAATGAAGGTAAATCAATGTAAGCATAAGGCATAAGTATTAAATATAGCAAAATTACCATAAGTATTAAATATAGAGTTGTTATTTTCAATATGCAAGCATAAAACAAAAAAAAAAGGATTGCAAATATGATGTAACCCATAAACCAGCAAAAACAAATGTTCTTGATGAATTTTAGATTACAAACTCTACTCCTACCGCAACATTGATATCCTTCTACATCCCACCAAGAACTATTAGATTAAGCAATTACTAAAGCTGAATCAATTTTGTGGATCTTTTTCCCCAATGATGCATTCATATTTGACCCAAGCTCCATCAAACATATAGTCCCTTTATATTAGTCATAAAAGCATACTAAGCAAAGCAAATCCATCCTAAAGGACAACAACCATACGTCAAAAGAACATACACCCTGAAATTACACTATAAAATCAAATGAATTTCATACAGAATATCATTTGAAATGTCAATCTCTTTTGACTATTAGCCAAATTCCAAGAATTCATATTTCATATTTCATATTCTTCCTACTCATTCATGCACGACGAATGGTTACACATGTCTAAACAAGAGCTACCACATTCCAAGGCCCTCATCATTGCTTTGCTTATATAATATGAAAGAAGAAGCATGTATCATGGCTTGTTCAGGCTTAGCTTCTCTGAAAAATATTAAAAAGGTACTCCAAATTTTGATATTAAGCACTGTTCATATTCTTGTAAAGGTATTTTTTGACTGAAATTAAGCTAAGATATTTAGAGTGCCCAAAATAGTTTAGTTGAAAAGGTAGGAATCAGCTTAATTTGAACAAATTACTAGAGTTAAGGCAGCTAAATGACTCCCTCCTAAGAAAATTAACAGCACGAAAGCCTTTACACCAATCAGTTTTAGTTCCACCTCTACTTATGCTTTTTTTGTGTTCTCCCATGCACCAATGGAAGACAACTTTTTATAAGCCCTAAAGAATTATAATATTGAGGTAAATACGACTGAATACCAAACCATCAAAGAAGAAAACATAAGTAAAAAAGAACTTTATATTGATTAAGGCAAAAGGCAAACAAATTTAGACATAAGATTCTCAATTTCGATTCATTGGTGCGCACTAAATTATGAATTGGCTAGAAAGTGCATTAGGATGCAATTGCATTCATGCCAAGTTCATTTTTGTTCAGGACTAAAAATCCAAATCATCAGCCCAAATGTGGAACTAACTATGATTCAAGGGTAACCCGTACTAACCTGTGTCTGTGTTTTTTCTTTTTTAACCTAGAGACAACTTCAAAATTGGAAATTCGCTATGTATTGGTAAAAAGAGAACAGATTGTAGGAAAATAAATATATGGGATAGTAAGATGCTCCCTAAGCTCTCATTAGTTCAACATTCATTACACAAATACACTTATTCAAAAAGTAGTATTCAAATGTTCTTAATAACTAAACTTAGAGAAATCACTCAAATTGATCAATCCGACTTTAAGATATCCATCCAACAGAAATTAGAAGTATAAATTTATAGAGTAGTCAACAGAGGTAGCTTATCAAGTTTATGCAAATAAACCTGCACTCACTATTAAAAAAATAATAAATAAAAAATAACTAATACGAGCTCATGATTTCATTGGCAGCCTAATTTCATACACATGATCCAAGACCGAATTTCTACTAAACCTAATTTTTTGTGCATGCATCGAAGACCTAGTTTCATAACATCAGTTTTGTTGGAAAAATCTAATTTCATCAATTTATTAGGAAAATAAACAAACAAGATCATCGAACTAAAAAATCCAAAAAAAAAATGAATTGTGAGGAAATAACAAATTCCTATTTTACAAATTTAGAATGTGATTAAAAGTAAAGAAAAACAGTCTAAAATTCTTGGAAAAAAAAAAAAGCAAAACAAACAAAAAAAGATTAATAAAAAATGAGCTTAAAAACCTGAAGAATCTCGATCCTTATCCAGATTCTGGAAAATTCTCAGATTAAACAAAATTTCCAAACGCCCATTGCAATGGTTTCAGCTCAAGTCAAAGTGAAATTCGTCGAAGGAAAATTGGAAAATGTTAAGAGGGAAGAAGAGAAAAATTGACAGAGGTTGATATGGAGATTAATACGGAGGGAAAGGAAAAGGCAAAACACAGAACAACAAATTGAAAGAGGGGAGAAGAAATGCTTCAGAAACAAAGAGTTTGATACTTTATTTCTATTTTTTGGTCTTTTGAAGCAGTAGTCATGGGCAAAGTAATAATTGATTGTTCATTAGTTGTCATCTAAAAACCAATCATCCATTGTTTTCATTTTGAAATTCATTGGCTTTTTACAAGTGAAAATTTTGGTAAGTGAAAATTTGAAACTTTATTTCTATTGTTAGATTTTTTTTGACTTACCAAAAAAAATAGATAAAGCTGGATTTTTTATGACCTGAATGGGTGCTGGTCACAAAAGGTTACTAAACCACGTAGTTTTATCCTCTCTTATGTGACATGCTTAGTGGTGTCATAAAAAGTTTTGTATTTATGACTCCCACAATATTACAAGTCACAAAAGGCTATCTTTCCTTGTAGTGATCGAGCATTTATTATAGCATAATTTATAATTTCAACCATATAAAAAATTATGAGACATAATATTTAAATATATTTAGTGATCCACTGGTGGTACCACTCACCCACTAGTTAAACCAGTAACCTGCTGACCCATCTCTTTTGCCGGGTTCCTCCTGGGGCGGGTTCAATAACTATGGTTGAAATATATGTTTTTATGGTTATTTTTAAAAAGTATGAAATAAACAATAATAGAGCATTGGATGAATGTGTCAGCCTAGAAATGGTAAAATAGCAAGGCATGCATAATATAAAGTTTTGAAAAACTTTGTGATGATTTTTTTATGGGACATTTTTAAAGTACTATTATGGTTGGCACAAAAGCTCTTTGGTTCGCATAAAAAGGATAATGAATAATAGTAGTATAAATGTCTAGGTGTATGCTAATTAAATGTAATGAATAATGTATATAATAAAAGCAGCTAATTGTTACTATGTGTCTTCTTTTTGTTTCATATTTAATTCATATTATTTTTATCTATTTTTTTATTATTTTTAAATTAAATATTTTTTTCATCATATAGAAACAAAAATATTATAAATGCAATTGTAGAAAATTCTAACGAAAAAATGATCTTCAAAATATTACAGCTATTAACCCTATATCTAATTTTAGTATTAAGACTACAATTAACACAATGCATTTTCACTTCCATTGATTTAGGTATAATGATATTCCTATTAAAAAAAAGTAAATACATTAGCAAATTATGCATTTTTTAAAATGGTTTAAGTTTTTATATTGGTCATTGTGTAGTCTATTTGTGTTTTATTTTGGTATTGGGTAAGAAAATTGAAATATTTTGATGTTCCATATTAATATCAAAATTAATATATATTATTTATTGTTATATTTGGTGTAGGAAAAATATATTAGTGTAATTAGTATGATATATATATAGTATAGTATAGTGTGTTTTAAAAAATCATTATATTTATACTTATTTAATTAAAACAAAAAATTTACTAATGAATGGAAATAATAATTAGTAAGGAAAAGTAAGAATTAAAAAATTTTGAGGACTTACTTGATGAACACTGAAGGAAAATATTGTGCTTCATTTTAAAGAGTATAGAAACTGTGAGAATAGGAAAAAATTTTGAAGAAAATATTATAAGAATAGTGTGCAATATATTTTGAATCTAAATTACTGAATATTGAAAGCAAAGATTATATACCTTTGATCTCTGTAATGTGTTCCTTTAATTGCTCTATTCCGAATTTTGACAACAGCAAAGTCTTTCTTTGTTCATGTGAAAGGTAATTCATAGGGTTTGATTTGTTTGATGGACAGTATAAAGCTAATGTTTTAATTTGGATGTGAGAAACTCTATGGAACTAGTGTCGACAGTTTTGATGCATTTATTACTATTAATTGCAGAGATTCGACACGGGTATTTTTTATTTAAATAAAAAGTAAATATGTGAGATTACTGAAGGCAGAGATTTTAATAGATTATATGTGTAGCAAGAATTGTAAAATGGGTGGTATGTGCTTTAATGGTTTATATGTGCATCAATATGTTGTTTTTATTATGCCTATATATGGATGAATGTTATTAGTAAAGAAATAGAGGGAAAAGATATGGTTATAATCAAAATATATTAGATTCTTTTTTTTTGTGCAATTATTTTGTGTTATAATGCAAGTTTATAATTAAGCTTTAATAGTTCAATGCAATTAGAAAAAGAAACTGATCTTTTTTTTAGGTATAGCAATATTTTTGTTGTTTTTCATGTGCATATATTAGTTTGTTTATTATTGAGTATATTTTGGATAATGAATTAATTAATTTTTGTTATACATACAATAATAGTTATATGTTCAATTGTATATATAAATTAGTAAAATTCTTGTTTCAACTTTATTTAGATTTTTGCATAATAATGGTTGGATACATCAATTTATTGTTGCTAAGCTTGGGATCACCTTCTTCTCTCTTCATGCAAGCTTGCTTCAGCCTATACTGATAGTGCTTCTAAAATTGGGATATGATAATGAATGTAGAGGGGAGATTGGAGCATTATGGCCCATGTAGGGGTCTAGTGCATGCATTTGAGTAGTTCAAATGTTTCATTCCTCAATTCAGCAAATTCAAGAGTATGATTGTTTCATTGAGTAATCAAATAATTGAAAAATTGAAGAGCGGTTGGATTTTGTTGTATATTTTGCAAACTCAACTACATATAAGTAATAAAAAAAGCCAAAGGATTTGGTGGTTCTCGCGTGATTTCATTAACCCTCATTATCTTATCTTTTGTATTGTGCATTTTTACATAGATAGACTCGTTATTTGTATTCTGCATTTTAGGACCCTTGAAGCAATAGTCAAAAAGGATCTCATCATCCCATCTCAATTGTGGTCCAGGTCTTTCCAAAACTTGGCAGATGGCTCGTCTTTCTCATCTTCCTTACCGTTGCCGGTAATCTCTTTTCTTCCTCACCATTGCATTTGCTCTCCGATAACATAGATAGACTGGCCTCTTCTTCTCTTCATTTCTTTAATCCATCTCTTTTCATCAGATCTTGCTCTTTTTTTTTTCCTTTTGTTCCTTTTTTTCTTCCATTAAATTGAGCTTAGGTTCTAATTTGTGGTTTTAGTGTTCTGATTTGAACTTAGAACTGGTGACTTAGCGGTTCTGTTTCTTGTTTAATCCTCTTTTCTTTTTTGGTTGCATTTGGACTGATTTGGTGATTTTTTACGACTTGGTTTGTTGTATTTTCTTTCCTGAGTTGATATCTTGGGTTACTATAGTTTGTTGATTTCTATATTTTTTTGGTTACTGCTACTGTATATTTGTTGATGGTATTATTATGATATTTTCCCCTGCAGCAGATCCATGAGCTCCACCTCGGAATTTTGGCTTTATATATTTAAGAATCCGATGTTCAGCGCGGGGTGTGGTCTTGCTTCTGTTTTAATTGGGATTGCTACAGAATGGTAACTGGGATTTCCTCTTCTTTTTTTTTTTTACGTTTCTTTTCGTCTTGTTCTGAATCATATGTTTTTTCTCTTCTTTTTCAAGACCTACTCTAAAATTGACAAGTGGTAAAATTTACCCCCTAAAAGGAAGGTTAAATCTCCCACCCCTTCCCCCCTTTCTCTTTGCGTAGGTAAAATTTGTCCCTATTCCAGGGGGAAAAGAATTATATCTTACCTAACTCAGTCTTAATCGTCCTTTTTTTTCTTTTTGTATCATTTTTAGGCCAAAGAAATTGTGGGACAACTTCAAGTAGTTGATTTTTAGTGAGCTTGACTTTGCTTGGTTCCTTCTTCTTTTCTCATTTCTGTGCATTTTAGGTTCTTTTTTCTTTTTTTTTTTTAAGATATTTTGCTTTGGTGGTTGTAGGACTTGATTGATGAGGATGAAATCTTTATTGCAGTTTTTTATTTTGTTTCGTTTTGGATTGCTTTTGGTTTTGAAGTTGTGATATGTGAAGGAAATTTTGTGCTTCTTATCTGTTGGTTTTGTATAAAACTGAAATTTTTTGTGTTTCTCTCTTTTTATTCAATGAATACAATTTGGATTGTGAAAAAATGATATGAGTTAGTGATTGCTCTGGTTTTGTGTATGGTTTGCATTGTGGGACTAATCTTTTTTATGCAATCTGACAATTATTTTTTTGTCTAAAAGAGATTTTTCCTGATTTAAGCTCTGTGAATTTTTTGCTTTTTTAGAATGGAGCCCAAAGATTGATTAGTTTGGCTGCTTTTCATGTTTATGATCTTTGTTTGATTATTCATACTTATGTAGTTTATGCTTATGTCTCTGTTTTCATGGCCTCAGAATGTCAGGCTAGGTGATCATGTGTTAGGCATTCATCTTGTTTGATTAGGGATGTGATTTACTGTTAAATTGATTATTGTAAGATAGCCAATGGTTTGAATTTTGGCTGTGAATAAGTAGTGTGTGCAGACTAGAAATACATTTGGTTACTCATACTTATGCAGTTTATGACTATGCTTCTGATTTTTTTGCTGTAGAATGTTGAAGTGAGTGTTGATATGGCTGAGCCGCAAAGAGGAAGGAATCTGTTGTGAGAGGTTTATGAGAACAGTTTCAATAATCTATTTCAGCTTCTCTCGCCTGTTCGCGATCCTGTTCTCACTCCCATATCTGATTTTGCTTGTTCCACAAAATTTGTACTAGAATCTTTGGCTGTTTTTTTCTGAAGTGCTTATTTTTCTTTCTTTTTGCACCTGTGTTTAGTAGGTTTTTTGCCTTGGAATTTGAAGGATGGGGGCACTGCTTGGATTAGAGGAGAGGCGCAGGTTTGGTTTCGGATGGACTGCTTGTGGTTTCTTGCCTGTCTGCACTGTCACCAGCCTTATGATTTTGCCGATACTTTGGGAATTGTGTGCAAGTGTTGTGGTCGACAAATGTATATTTTCCCTAGGTATTCTTGTTCTATTGTTCTCCTGCTACTATTTGTCCATGATGTTGGTCTAGCTTTATGCATGATTGCTGTTGATTGCAGGGTCTATATTGCTCTATCAATTAAAGATGACTCTGGCTCTATGAATATTCTGGTTATTGGCGATGAAGTTGTGCGCCTTATTGGTCTTGCTACTTTTCATCTTTATGCGCTCGATGAACAAGATGTAGTGTAGCTTGGTTTTTTTTATACCTCTACGATGTTTGCATCTATGATTCCGTTTATGCTAATGGTGTTGTTTGATTCTTCTCTTTCTGCAACATGCTAGATTGAGCTATTACGTTGCTAATGAGGCCAAAGGAAAAAGGCTTTTGTGCTATATTAAGCATTCATCTGATCATATTAGGAAAACCACTTCTGTCAAGTTTACTGTTGTTACTTTTTATGTTGCCTAGCCTCTTTCGTGATGTAGCTTGCTATTTTTTTGGTGTAAGGATGCTTTCAATATGTGTTTGGAGCACTTTATGCTCTTGTTTGTTGTTTTTAGGGTTGCAAACGAATCGAGCCGCTCGCGAGCGGCTTGAGTCAAGCTCGAGTCGAGCTCGATCAAAATCGAACTCAAAATATTAAGCTTGTTAGCTCGCGAGCTCGAGTATATATATAATATTTTTTATTTTTTTTATTTTAAGTATATTTATATATATTTTTTATTTTTAAGTATATATTTTTTTTATTTTAATAGTAAAATTACATATATATCCTTAATATTTTTATTATTTATTAAAAAATATATTATTTTATTTATTTTTTAAAAAATAAAATAATTTTTTTTAATTTTTTTTGAGCTCGAGCTCGGCTTGAATTGATTCGAGTCGAGCTCGAGCTCGAAAATTGCCGGCTTGAGTTCGAGCTCAAGCTTGGTAAAATTTAGTCGAGACTCGGCTCGATTGGCCCAAAACTCGACTCGACTCGGTTCGTTTGCAGCCCTAGTTGTTTTGCATATGGACTCTTTTGTTGTCATCTTGATTAAAAGAATCCAATATTCTCTGCTTCTGTGTGAGCGTTTGTGTAATTGCTTGCAATATCTTGTCATTTGCTTGCTGTTATTTTCTCTTCTGATGTTATTTTAGGTCATGGCAGTTAAGCTATTACCAGTTGCTGCCTATTTTTATTCATTGTATTACAAACACTTTTAGTTGAGACTATGTAAGCGGATTTTTATGCAAAGGCAATCGGGAAATGTGTTTCTGCTTTCACTAAAATTTTCTTCATTGTTCTTGTATACATTTGTGATGCTAGGCATCTCCGTGCGCAGCTTGATCAGGTGGCTATTAGGCTATGCATGCTAGTGACATTGGGGGTCTTCGCACTTCCATTACATGTATATTACGTGGATACTAATTGATTTAGAACTACCAGGCCCAGTGGATTATGCTTTTTAATTAATGAGGTAAAGAAAATCAAACCTTCATTGCACGATTTCCTGAGCTGTGACCTACGTGGAGGTTAGAGGAGGCAAAGATAAGACTAATAAAACTGAATAACATGTTTAACAGGCCATACTCAAGTTTTTACTGCAAACTTTGAGAATATTTCGAAAAACTTTTCATCAATGATAGAATATTTTAATAAGTTGGGGCAAAAAGGAAAATCAAATTAAGAAAGGGATCCAAAATTCCTTTCAAGTTGTAAATAGTCATGAAAACTTAAGGTTGGACTTTTGTTAACTGTAATCCCACACATTTTTCTGCTAGACATTACTAGAAGATTACTTATTTTATTTGGCAATTTTTATTTTCTATGACAGGTAAAGGAGCAATTTTTTTGAGAGTTTTTTTTAGTTTTGAGAGTATTTTTGTTGAATATGATGAACAAAAAGAAAAACGTTTATTTAGAAATAGTTCGAAAAGGCATGCAAATATGTTAAGCCTTTGCCTTAATGTGTTGAATTGGCTTTATAATGTGCTGGAATTACATTTGATCAAGCTATTGCATAAAAAAAAAAAAAGTCGTTCGCTTCATAATTGTCCAAAAAGCCTTTGGTTTTGATATTTCCTAGGCATTTTTTTAAAATTATGTTTTTTAGTCTTTTGCAATTAGCATATCCTCTTCATAATTCGATCTTTACGGACACCTAACTAACAATGTTGGGCAATATTACCACTGTGCGGTGTGCAATGTTGGACACCTAACTAGTGTGTTGGAGTTCGTTGTAGTTGAAGAGGTTGGAATATATAGTTATTCATGTTGTATAAAGGGAAGTAAAGATTTAGTAGATAAGCATATAAGAAAGAGTAATTGTTATGTTATGAAAGATTGCATTAGATGATATTTATAGGAGGTTTTATTAGTGCACAGGAGTTTTATATATGTGTGTGTATAAGTGTGTATTTGTGCACATATAGATATGTTTCATTGTGTGTATGTTTATGTGTGTGTGTGTGTGTGTATGCGTATGTGATAAAGTTTGGTTACCTAAGGATTATTTGTAATAAATGTATCTATGTATTCTATTATACTGGTGTGTTTTTTAACTTTTTTTTATTTCTTAAACTTCTTTCTTAAATATATTAAAATAAAATACATAAAATACCAGACCTAAGGATTTTAATTAACACAATCTTTGTAAATTATATAAAACATAATAGAAAACACAATAATAGCATATATTGTTCTATTAGATGAATACCAAAAATCAATCTCATCTCAGACATTGGTGTATTTGTACTCAATTGAAACACATTTTGCATATCTGAAAATACTGTGTAATTAACAATAACATAAAAAAACACTCATTGTTTTGTCTTTTAAATAATCAAGAATGACATCAAAACTGCTAATTATTTTATCATAGATCTATCAGCATCTCTATATTCTGAATAATATCATATAATAATGTATTCGGGATCAACCAAGCATGCATTTGGACATCTGAAACAATCAAATAACTAATAATCAAATTTAAAAAGTTAATCATTGTCTAAGTAATCTGGCAAATTATATAGATATGTCAATCTATATAATCATTATGCATAGTATACATAGTCATTGCTATATTTCTAACAACATCAAAATTTGCTAAAGACAGTTTTTATGGCATTTAATAAGACCAAGATAACCAGAAAAATTAAATTATATAGGAATCAATATTCATCTATATTATACATAAATATATACACACATATTTTTCACATATAATCACATAAATAAATATGTATATCAACACAATTAAACACAATAATAAATAAGTAAATAGAATTAAGAGAAAAATCTCACCTCTGACATCATTGTCTATTCAGTTACAACAGTTATAGCAATCTGCTTAATAAGTATGTCACAATGAGAAATGGATTCTCTAATAATTCTGTCTAATTCGATAACATTAATAACAGTACCTAATTCAATAGTATTAATAACACTGCAAGGTTGATCTGAATTCTTTCATCAGTTTAGTCCTTAAACGCGAGAGATGATTCTTTATTAATAATTCTACCCCTTTTTATTTGGAAGAGTTGCTTATCTTTCTCGATTATGACGGTTTTTTTCCAACCATTGTTCCTTATCACACAAATTTCCTCTTTTGACCTATTATAATTATTGATAATTTATCACAAATAAAAACATCAAAAGATAAACATCAAAAAACAATCACAAGCACTTAAAGACGTAAGATATAATGATTACATCACAAAACAAATATACCTGTTAAGAGCATAAAATGAATGCAAAAGGACTTCACAGATAATTAAACAAAAAAGCACTAATATCTTTAAAAAAAAACTATTCATTCTTTTAAAAGAAATCATAATTGAAATACAAACAAAAATATAAAAAAAACATTTATATCAAAAAAAATGAAGAATATGTCTTTTCCGAAGTTAAAAAGCAATCAATACAGAACAATAGGTGAACCAGTACTTACCTTGAACAATAAAAATACAGAAAAAATTTCAAACAAAAGGAAAAACACGATATCAACCACATTAGTAAACCTGAATCTTAAAAAGTATAATTCAAAAGGCATGGAACAAATGAAAATTATGTAAACAAAAAAAATATTATACAAAATCAACAAACAAACACCAAATAGGAGCACAAAAATAACAAAAAATTTAAACAACCAAGGCATATAAAACAAAGGGAAAAAAAACTAATACATAAAAGAGGAAAAACATAACAAAAAAACATGAAGAATATAACAGATAATAGCACAGTAAAATTCACTGAAGCTTGTGGCAAAGAGACAACAAAAAGAGGAGAAAAACAGTTACACTAAATAAGTACCATAATCCTCTTATATAAACTGAAGGGAAACCAACTATAAATACAGCAAAAAAAGAACCAACTATACCAATAAAAAGTGCAATAACAACTCAGACATTTACTACAACCATAAATGATATAAATCAAAACATAACATTAAAACAAAATTAACAACAAATATATATATTTATATTTCTTCCTCATCTATAGTTACATCAAGGTACAAAATAAATAAAAGAGAAGAATATTTTACCTATTCAAAAGGATTTTAGAACCAACAAAAGTTAAGAGTGCATCAAAACCACACTATCTTGAACAAAGTAGTAAAAATGACCAAATAAAAGAAACAATAAGAACTCCTAAGAACTTTAAAAATGGGAAAAAAAGAACTCCTAAGAACTTCTAAATAAAAAAAAGTTAAAATAAAATGATTTAAAAAAATAATTAACAAACATAATGATGGCGAATGGGGAAAAAATTCCACCAATAACCAGTTTCATGCAACATGAAATAATGGCTAGAGATTATTATAGCAAACAAGCCAATAGACTAGTCCGATGTGTAACTACGTAATTACAAAATGAAATTCATATCAGTTTTCAATGTAAATGACCAACATAATTGGCACAATAGGTGCATAATAAATCTCGTCCAACAAATGCACACGCAAAATCCCCAAAAGATCAAATACATTAGCCACATAAACAAAGCATAAATAGATAAAGATGTAACTACACCCATGCCACCTCACCAATGACTATAAAAACATCTCGCTTTCACGTTTATACACACTTCCAGTTACATAAATTATACCTTCCAACACAAAGCTTTGACTGCATATTGGAGGCATCATTAATTCAACAAACCTTCCATCCTACATACACACATGTACCAATACATCCACCAAGTAAAGAGGATCAAAGAACTAATAAGCAGACAGGATAGAATCAGGCACAAAAGATAGTGAAAATTGCACAACAAATATTGAGGCAGCCATTATATGATTTTTTCTTCATGCATTTCTCGAGATAGAGGCAGCCAAGAGAAAATCATCACCAAGAAATACAAATATTGTAGGAACGAATGAGCTTATAGGTACTTGTGTCTCAAATTCTTGACCATGATACTTCCGTTCCTACAACAGTTACTGTAGACTTGACACTTTATCAAGAAATTGGCATATCAATTTCCAAATCCAATCCAATCTACTGTAAAAAAATTTTTTTTTTTAAGTATTAGAAATAAAGACTTCCAACCCCTGATAATAGACTACTAGTTCTTGACTCTTTTATCTATAAAAAAAAAATAGAAAGAAATCTAGTGGCACACTATCAAAAAGATAGAATTAGGCATCACAAATTGAAAAAGGATGGAATAACTAACCAATTGGACAACATTATTTACTTACTATACTTCCCCTTTTAAGTAGTTAGATATCTCAAGATTAAATGGTTATTCCTCTTTTTACTCTTTAACCATACCCGAATATTTTTTCTGGTCACTAAACTTTAAAGTGGAACACTTTAGTACCTAAAGAATGAAATTTGTCCCACTTCAATAAAATAAAAAAAAAATTTTGTCCTTTAATCCTAGGGGGCATCCAACTGAGAATAGATTGGTGGTAGAATGTTTATTTGAGTTTGAATAACCTGAAAAATCACTAACATGATTAATTGCATGTCTTGAGTTTTAAAAGTTTTAAGTTTTTTTTCATTTTAATGAAGTATAAATTTGTTTTTAAAATTTTTAGAAAATTATATCAGAAACATTGATTTTGTAGTCTAGCCTCATACTTTATATTTTTCCTATCATTGTATTAGAAGAAAACGTGTTTACTATATTCAATGACACAAAAAAAAATGAATTTTATTGCAGGGAAATAAAATAGATAATTGCCAAATTATCATAAAAGTAATTCTTTATTAAAACACTACATACTTTTGGTCCGATGGAGTTAAGTGATTTAGTCTTGGTATTGTGATCTCAAGATATTCAATATGGTCCAAATACACCAAAACTAAAAGTAAAAAATACACAAGATTAATCATTAAAATTTTTATCTTTGATGATGATGATGATGACGACGATGATGAAGAAGGAGGAGGAAGAGTAGGAGCAATGGCAGTAAAAGAAGACCACTCACACTCACCTACAAGTCATTGTTTTTGCATGAGTCTAGAGTTGTTGTACAATTCTTATGTGATGAGAATTGAATTTTTTTTTTTATTTCAATGGAAGTAAGACAAATAAAATCTATTTTCTAACATATTAGGTATTAAAAAATGTGTTTTTATTATTTGATTACAAGTTTAGCTGTGGGATTGAGTTTGTTTATTTCATTGGGATTGGGTTTGCTTCTTAAAAAAAATTACTTTACTTTTATCTATAATGGACAAGTGAAAAAAAGTTAAGGGGACAAATTTGTGGTTATAGTAAACACCATGACCAAGAAGTTATAAAAAAAAGGGCCATTTTATGGAAAATACTGCAATCCCTATTTTGGATACTGTACCCATAATGCTAGTCTATTTATATCTTCCCATATTATCTAATAATTTGAACTCTTAAAATCATTTAACGATTGATAACTCTTATTCTACATTGAACAATGAATTTTATCTTATTGATATTGTATCCAAAAGAGTTATAGAACCCCCCCCCCCCCCACATTTTATATTTTATTTAATAGGAAATTTCCAAGAGGTATAGGTCCCTTAGCCCTAAACATCAATCCTATAAAATTAGACCAAAAAAAAAAAAAACTACTAGGTAGTGATTCCATTCTTTTTTATTTTTTCCCTATTAAAAGCGCCCATGAAAATTGACCGAAAATAAAAAGTTTTTCAAAAACGACATGCCATCAAAATATGGTGGAAATAAAGCAGCTAATTCATTTTCAAAAGTATATGATTTTGTGTTCAGCATTAATCGTTGGATCATTTGTTATCTATTTGTGCTCTCCTTGTTAGGCACATGTGGTATTTCAACTACCCTTTGTTAACAAGCGTTCTATCAAAAGTAAGTGTTGTTGCAAAAGTAAGCACAAACATCACATAACTTGGTCTATTTGGTTTGAAATAATATAACAAGGACTTCGCAGCACATGGGATTGTATGGCAAAGATTATGGTAAGTAGAGAATCTGGAACCTAGCTGCTACACTTGGTAAAAGAATGGTCTATGTACAGAGAAATTTCGTCATTCCAAATACCATACAAACTCAGGCTGGTGATATTCAGCCAAAATTGATCATGCCAAATGCTCAATTACAACTCCTAAAGACCTGTATTCCCGCGAAAGAACATTGCATGAGACAGTTTGGTCAGAGGACATACTTCTTGCCAACTTGATTTCAAATATCAAGCTGAATATCTAAAACTCGTAGTAGGCTCAATTTCTAACAAAGGTTCATGTCAAAGCTTCTCAGGGCTGCAAGTTCTGATCAACTTCATATGGTAAAGACTGAGATGAACCGCTGTATTTGCTGGAAAACGGGGTGCTCCTTCGAGACTGGCGTTTTGTGGGGACAAGAGTAGGTTCTTGCTCCTCATCTTCACTAACCAAATTGTTCTCATAATCATCTCCGGCCTTGAAGACTGGGTGGATGTAAGCACTTCGAAGGTAATCCTTTAGATTAACATTTGGCTCCCTTGTACGATTCAGTATATCTTTCATCATAGCTTGCTGCAAAATCCAGCAAAGCACAGAGGCATGGACACAAGGTGCACATTAGAAAATGACTGCACAGGTTGAAAGATTGTTAAATAGATAAGACTGCCAAACCCATCTCATCATCTAATAGCATGTGGCTGAATGAAAGATTTGACTTTTCCTCCATTTGGATACTTAGGTAGAAAATACAAGGAACAGCTGAATGTTGTTAAGATGTGACTGGGACCTGGGACTTAGCTAGTTGATGATGACAATTATCTGAGAGTTCTCATTTCCATTATGGAGGGAATTGGCTGGGACTATTCTATGCTAGATAGCATGAACATATCTGTGGAATGATGCACAGCTGAAAGACTTGTTTACATGAAAGTTTTTCATCAAAATGGGGATAACTGATCAAGTAACATTAAGGTTAATACTTAATACAGCTATAAATACCTGCAATGGATATCTAACAAAGGCAGGTTCATAACGACCTTTGCAGTATCTGTCGAAGCATATGGTCAATACAGGGAGTGTAATGAGAAATGGAGTTGACTGAGAAGCATCTTTTGTACTCAACAGCCCCAGTAAAAGCAGTTGGGAGACTATCAATGCTATTATGATGCGCCCATGAACATCAGGCCAGAATGCTGCAGCGCTCTCATACTCTTGATTGTAGACATTCATAATCTACACAAAAATGTCTAATGAAGCCCCACGAAAGGTATAACATGGAAAATGTTCAACTAGGAATTCCATTTACAGTATATTCAGATATGAAAACTTTATAATGTATTATAGTATGAATCTTCTATTTCCACTGGCTTGTTGCAGTTGAGGAGCCAAAATTACAAACCAAATATCCAAAAAAATCTGTTTTGGCTTGTCACCACAATTTTCAGGTATAATCCAAGCTTTTATGTAAAATAATCCAACTTAATAGAGCCTAGAGAAAGCAAAGAAAAGCTACTACAATAATTTCCATTTTGAATTTGCCACCAAGATATGCAAATATAAATTGAGATTAGTCACAGCTGAAACTAGATCAGATTCTGATCCCTTCAGCTCAGAAATTGAGAGACTCCTTCTATTTTAAAAACACTGCAGCAGACCTTCATAGTGTAGACTCAAAAGAATAGTAAGCCTTTTGGCTTATACTTTTGCAATATTTCCTCTAAATTGACTACGGGTGAAGTTCCTGACATACACATTATATAAAAGTGCCAGCTTATAACAATACAAGTGACTCACACCCCTACAAGAGAGAAGGGCATAGGAAGAATACAGAGTAATAAATTTTAATCACCAGCAACAGAAAAACAATAAGAAAAATCTTTTCACTCTGATCTTTATATGTAAAATATGTTTTATACTTCCCAAATACGATAAAATGCTTGGAAAAATTGTCTCTCAGGAGGAAGAAAGGAAAGTTTGGTACTTTGAGTGCATCAAATTCTTTTTCTTGTTGAGGTAAAATTTGTACAATCAAAGTGATTTATGAACCCCAAAACTATAAGTTGCACATGGTCTCCACACTCATAAAAACAATAAACAGTTTTAAGAGCATTGCTTCACAACCAGAGGGTCCAAGCATCGATTGTTTTTGTTTACAACAGAACATTCTACATAGGAAGAATTTATTTTACCAAATATTCAAATTTACCTGATGACGGTATACGATATATGCTAGTCCAAAGAATATGACGATAAAAGGAAGCAAAATTGGAGAAACAACAGCATAAACCAGCCCCAGCAAGAAATACAGCTGTATCTGAGGTTCGCCTGTGTTGAAACCCAGGCTCCCAGGATTCATTGCCTCCTCCCTATCAGTTTCAGTCTTTACCATGAAGAAATTTTTGAGGTGATAGATAATTAAAGGTCTCAATCTAAGAATCTCGCCTGCAACTCCAGCCCATCCATCCACCATTATGTACGTTATGAAGAAGGTAGCTTTCATAGGTATGGAGACACCAATTGTCTTTGGAATCCTGCAAAAGAAGCTCTTCAATTTCCAAATAGAATAAAGTCTTCTAAACTACTACAGTACTACTACATTTTGGGCATATAAGCCAGAAAATAAGCGAATGGAACACAACCACAATTAGTTGATATTAAACTGGTTTTGTCAACTGGTGGATAACAATGCAAAAACTTATGTAGCTGCCCTATTAAAACTTCTACACATGCTTTAATACCACTGTGTTGATATCTTTCTGACATGTGGGATGTCTGAGACATGTTTGTTGAATTAAACAAAAATATACATATACATATGAATATGTATAATGCACTGAAGTGTTATGCAAATTTTGCACTCAATTTTTCTCACAAGGTGCATTCCATTGTATGCTTTTGATTCCATATTTCACAAGCAGTATCTTTTTAATCCAATTTTGCTTCCCAACAAACTATGCTTCAAGTTGATATGACTCTACATGCATCCTTGCATTAATTAATATGAACACGGAACCATATATTTGTTCACACATTAAATGCAGCAAAAAGTTGACTGTAAAAATGCTTCAGCTAAGCTATACCCCCACAGTAAAACATGAGTTAACTTGAAATGAAACAGAAAGGATAGAATATGGTTTGCTCTAAAAGAACATACTCATTTGGTGACTGGTGAATAAAGTTATTTAATTGCTGAAATGCTGTTCCAGTGATGATGCTTCCAAGAAAGACATTTATGAACTGAAAAATGTAGTATCTAGTTGCAGATCTTCTTTCAAGAGCTGATATGGAGCTGAATCCTTCAAATTTCGACATCAACATCAGTATTGATGGTAAAAATATGAGAAAAATCTTCAAAGCAATTCCTGGAAGAAAACCCTGGATGAATCCCTTAATGACTTTCCTGCATCACAAATAAGATTATTTGAACATATGCATGGACTAAACAGTAAAAGGAAAGAATTTTCTGGATAGATACTAAGGACGCCCATATAGTAAATTCTATGGCAGCACATAAATCTGTGGGCAGTGCATATCCATCTAAATATGGAAATGCTCCTAGTTTCATGCTTTTTATCCATGTGAAAGATCTATGGATTGTGATGTCATTCCTCTCTGTCTCCTCATTTTTATTCCAACTATGCAATCACACATATAAATACTGATATTTCGTTGTGAAATTTGTAAAATCTATGAAGGTGGAAAATAGAAATAAGCTCACTCAAAATTTATCTTTCCACACTAAAATCAGAAGCAGCAAAAATAAACTGCATTTTATAATACAGCCACTTCCTCCCTGAAAAAGTGAATTGAAAGGGAGTTGATTTCATTTAATTCGTGACCAATTACTGAGGAACTGAGTAAATTAAATTGACCTCAATCATCATCAAGAACACCTTAATTAAAACAAAGATACACAAAAAGCCCTCAAGTCATGTTAAAAATGCAATAGAAAATGATCTTTCTGACCATTTGAAGGCAATGAAATGAAATAGGAGAAGCATACTTACTTTTCAATTATTGGCTTCAGGAAAGGAAGTGCTTTCTCTATTCCCTCTACATTTGCAAGGGACTGAACAAAAGCGATGGGAATCATAAAGAAAAAGGTAAGGAAGAAAAATGCAACAGCTATGACAAGCCTCCTAATAGTAAGTGAGACATAGGGAATTGCTAGATTATTCCAATACACGTCACAGGGCTCTGGAGCCCATTCAGTTAGCCACAAGGTTGGATTTCTTGACTGCTGAGTTTGAGCACAAACAGCAGCTCCCCATCTGGTTTTAAAGGAAACAAATGCTGCAGGCATTATGTACTTAGCATTATTGTCAATCTTCAGTCTCTCAGCAGCTATCTGACATTCATTTGTTAAGTACCAAAAGTGAGTTTTAGAATCAAACAAATATATGCAGTGAGTTTTAGAAGGCAAAACAAATATATGCCAGAAATTATGACAAAGACATGCTGAAGTAGATAATTGAAGTCATCTTCAAAAGTTTAAAACAAATAAAAGAGTTCCTGTTCATCTGCAAGGCTAACGCAATTTGAATGGACTACAGAACACAATTTTTAATAAGCACAAGCTGTCTTTGATGTTGGAATCAATGTATAAGAAGACCTGTCCGTGCATTGCCACTACAAAGTTAACAAGGGTTTTTACTGCATACTATTCTGTTTCACACTAGAACAATCTCAACATGTTAAATGCAGGCTTTAATTTTGTGTCAATTAGTGAATACACCTTTCAACTAAATAAGGAGCTTTAAGTTATTTCATTGAGTGTATGATACATTTATTCAAGCTTGAGATAAAACGTACAATCTCTTAATTGGACAAAACAACAGGGACTTGATGATTTAAATAAGACTTAGTGTTACTTTTAAATGTTTACAGAAGAAGAGTCCTAATTTCACCATTACTTTCAGGAAAAAATTTTGTGATCTACTAATAAGCCACTTTTGTTCTAAATACAGATTGTGTCAAACAGATTCTGTTGTATGGATGAGTATGCTGTTCACAACTTACATTTGGCTAATATTTTGGATAGACTAACACTTTATTTTGAGCAGCAATTTACTAAAGTTTTATTTCAAATTTCTTCAGTATCCAATAGATTAGTGCAAAAACTACAGATGTGAATGTAGATGATCAAAAGGAACAAATTTGAATGAGAAATGTGTGAAATTTAATGTTGTTTTAAGGATGTCACAGTGAAGTGTGCATAGTTCAAATGAATTCATGAATATTCTTAAAATATACAAGTAATTTGTGCTTTAAAACAGCCAAAGTTGAGGTGCAAGGAGCAAGAAGCCCTAGGCTCAATTCAATAAGTTTGTGAGCTCATTAAGTCAGTCTAACAATACATTGATACCTGTCAGATATATCGGGAGGTATTCTTATAATACTCATGTCATGGCTACTAAAGAAAATAAATATTACAACTCATACGCAAGCTGAAGACCTATGTTAAGACAATAAATAGTACTTGCACTTTAAGCATGATGAATATGAAATATGAATAGAACAAGGCTATGAATAAGCTTCCAACCACACGTGGTTCAAAAGATGGCCCAAAATTCAAAGACACACTTCAAGTGGGATGGAACCCAGATAATGAGATGAATACATTGCCAAGGCAGCCTAAGTTAACCAATTTTTTTACACCTTGATGAGCTTGCAGGAAGGTCAACTAGATGTAATAAGATCCAGTTTAGTATCCATGAATAAAAAGACTAGCATCTAGCTAAAAATTCATCCAGCACGGTTGCCCTCATGTATGTTATTTTAAGAGACTAACACATTCTGGCTTTTAAATTGGGTTTAATAGGAAAGAGAAACCGATTAAAGAATCAAGTGTGCACAATATGTTTGGACATCTATGATGCCTGGTACTTTCTACAGCTTGTACAAGTTAAAAACCCACCAGCCAAGATCAGGTGATAAAAGAGCCCTTGCAGCTTGGCTTCCTCCTAAATTGTTAATTCAAACTTGTAGATGAAGAAAAAGTAGAAAGCTTCATACAAACAAAAAGGGCAAAACATACCTATCTAACATTGGGACTGGAAGACTTTGGGGAAACACCCTTTAACTGCTATGTGAATAATGTCCAGTTTCTCTTACAGGTAGAGTTTTTGTTCAACCCTAATTGTGATGATGATCCAACTTTGGGGCTGGAAGACTTTGGAGAAACACCCTTTAACCACTATGTGAATAATAAGCTCATTTCCAGTTTCTCTTACAGGTAGAACTTTTGTTCCACCCTTATCGTGACAATGATGATCCTTGATCATCCACTACAAAATTCAAGCATCACATAGACTCGAATTAATTATTGATTCTACACAGTCTAGCATTTCATGGTGTTGTATCACGAAAAAGCAAACAATATGGAAATATGTGTACACAGGTATTGCAATAAGAACGTTTTGAACTTCTTTGACATTAAGATAAACTTTTCTATTCTTTTGTCCCAGTATATAAATTGAAGACTTCTTCAGATTGACGATTATCAGAACATCAAATAACTGTATTTGGGGTATGTGGTGCTGAAATTCTACCATGAATAATTGGAATATCATGGTGCTAGAATTCTAAGCATCAATTGAATGATGGATAAATAACAACTATGGAGCCCCTGAAAATGATCCTTCATCTTCTAAGAAAGATCTTAAGCCAAGACTAACAAAAGTCAAAACTGAAACTAAGATAGGCTTTTTTTCTGCTAAGTGACTAAGGTCATAACCTCGTCTTGTTGTAAAACCAAACAAAAAAACTTAGATAACAACCTCATTTACATTATTGTATAAAGCATGTTAAGGGAAACAAATCACTTACTTCCTTCGAAAGTCTTTCAATTTCAGAGGTGTAAAAATTGATAGTATCCACTGTTTTACCCCAAAAGCCAAGATAACCACTCTGCTCAAATCAAAATATTTTCCTCAGAAGGTGTTAGTTTTAGGATGTATGAGATGTTCAGGACTATTACTTTATGATTGACATATCCAGAGGCGAACGAATAATATCACATCGAAGTACCTTTGATGTGGGCCTTCTTGATTGGTTCCTAGCATACTTCAGTTGATAGTAGTCAAGCCAGTTCTGCTTGTTCTTTTTCTCATTCACGAGTTCAGAGAGCTTGTTTGCATTGTAAACCACCTGCAGATAAAGCATGTGAAGAATACAGATATATTGAGCATGGCAACTGACTAACTCTGCTTAGGTAATTAGAGGATAGAAGATATTGCTATAACAAACAGTCGTCAAAAGAGGTAATATTTCATTTTATCTCCATTTTCTTTTCTTTTTTTCCTCAAGTAGCAGCCAATCAACTGCATAAAAGACATAAAACAAATCTGCTGAGAAATTTTAGCAAAGGGAAACAAGAGTAAGTAAGAATCCTGTGCAGAAGAGGGGCTTGCTAAGGCCATTTCTTCAATGTCCAAAGTCATTTGTCTGATATGTCAGGTTTGCAAAATACCAACTACAATCCTAATCTTGTATTTCTGGGAAATCATGTCTATACTCATAACGCTAGGTAGTATAACAGCAAGCAAAATGAAGCGAGAGATTTTGCATTCTGATAATTAAATAAAATCTGAAAACAAAATTTTCATACCATTACACGTGCCTACCAAGTAGACAGATGAAATCAGAAATTCCCCCATATATATGACTAAATTGTCTCCACTTTTTGAAATCAGTTAGGCAATCATATTGTATAAAGAAGAATGCTCATATTTTCACTTAGAACATGACCATGATTGTTTAACCGATAATTAAATACCTGCAAATCAGACTACTTAGTTTATCAGGTACCTGAAATGCTAGCTTTTATTTATTTTCTTTTTTCTTATTACATGCAGTGCTAGCTTATTAAAAATAAAACCTGCACGCTAAATATGAAGATATATGTTATTTTATGTTGCATGGCCAAGCTGAGGGCAGGGGCAGTAGAAAATTTCATTTCCTTTTGACTCAATAGTTTCCTTAACTAATGCATGACAAACTGCATGAACAGGAAATCACTTTACGGTGCAGTAAGAAAGCCAATTAGTAGAAAAATAATTATTTTACATGCTTAGAACTAGACTTTTAGGATGTGCAGTAATGAAGTAGCAATAAGAACCATGATATGTCGGTTATATAAATATCCATTCTGAATGCCATTCTAGATTGGAAGGAAATTGGAAAAATAGAAGGCATAAAAGGTTTAGTGCAGGCTTTTCATTGCTGTAGTCCCCTCCCAAACAACAACCACCTAGAAACTAAGGATATGTACAAATTATACCAGATTATTAGACATGGATTAATATAGGAGGCAATCTCAGAAGCCGTACAATGATATTTTGACAAGAAAAAATATTTATAAATTAATCATCATAAGTTTATGAAATTGTACTTGGACCTCCATGGTGATAAAATGGAAAAATTAATTCAAAGTTCATTCTATTCTGTTCTAAGAGTCACAGTAAATTTTACTGATAGCAATAAGAGGATCCAAAATATTTCCTTTGTATGGTCAGTATCATCCTTTGTATGGTCAGTCATGTTATAGAGTCATAATCTGGTGACAAATCTATAAGTATGCACCTGAGTTTATCCAGAGAGACTTTTAAGTTTCTGCCTTTCAGATTAGAAAATATCGAAGACTTGGACAACCTTGGGTGAGACACTTCAAAATTACTCTAAGACAAGCTACAATGAGCTCAGTATTGATAAAAACCAAAGTGGAGGTTATGAATTGTCTAATGCTACCCAAGTCTACCAGAAAAATTGAGCAGCCAATAGGTATTCTAACAAATGATTGTCCATGACCAGTATGCAAGTTTTCCAGAAAATTTGATCAGCCAACAAGTATGATTGCTCGCAAATGTAACAATATCAATGACACAAGCACATTAAAGGGTACGTCAGAAAGAAATGAAGCAACTAGTAAAACTTAGAAGAAGCTTTGCTTCAACCAGCTTCAAGAGATAGTTAACTAAGTTGGATAATCCAAACACCAAGGTCTTGCCACTGCTTGAAAGGAGTGAATTTTGCAAAACAGGAAGGTCCAGCATATCACAGCAGTTTGTGTTGTGCTAACAAGACATACTTTCATGGGATATCAACATTAACTATTATTGTAAATAACTTAAGCAATAGCTTTCTTGTGAACCTCTCTAAAGTACAAGGCAATACCAATTGATTTGCACAGACCCTATTCTATATATGCATGATGTTCCCCAATACAAACTACAGAAATCTCTGCAAGCTAGATGTCAGCTAGTTGATTGATACTTCATCATATATCAAGGTTGGTTGGAGTAAAACCTGATGAGTTAGATAGTGATCAGGATGGTTGACCATGAAGAAATGCTCCACAAGTTCACTAACAGATTCATCAGGGTCTGGTGGCACATTTCTTACAAGTACCTGGACCGAATGACCACAAAGAAAACATCCTTAGTTACAAAAACACTTCAGATGTATAAAGCATATGAGTAGTTAGATATTAACAAGAAACCATGGAGTAACATCTTTTACCTTTACAGTAAAACAGAATGGAAAAGGAAGGCTTGCCTATTGGCAACAGCAAATTCAAAATGGGAATTGAAAAGAAAAGACATCAAAATTTGAGATATTGTCTTAATCCAACTTTGTCTAAAATGAAAATCACCTCCATTTTAAGTTGATCTTTTAATGCTTATGAAAGATTGGAAATTGATCCAATGATGCTTCATAGTAAGCATACACCAATGCAGGAAGAAAGTTGTCAATTACACCTTTACATAGCCAGGTCATTACTAGTACTTGTGTGAATACCTAAAAGGGTTTCTAATTGTAAAACTTGTTGAAGGTAAGACTTTTAAGGATTGGTACAGTTCACAAATAGCTTCATCCAAGGTACTAAATTTCAGTCATTCAACCTGAGATGTCATGTACTTATCCATTTTGAAATTTCCGTACAATAGCCATTTCAAATCAGTTCTCTTCAAAGGGTAGTTAACAAAATTTGATGATGAGTATGCATGATGGAATTTAAGTATTAGAAGTTCAAATTTCCAGAGTGTTGAGTCTATTAAATCTCCAAAACTTAAGAAGATGTGAATCAAAATCAACCTTAAGATTAAGTGATATAATTTACACTTCAGAATAGGAAGACCATATCTGAATAACTAAGCAAGAAAACAAATATGATTATTTGAATATTAGTCTGTTACCGTAAATTGATCTGGACGTCGATGTTCTGAAGCAATAAACTGCAATCTCATTGATGTAATTGTCTCATATTCCCTCTTCAAAACATAACATGTCCAGAATGTAAAGACATAAGCCATTACTATGTGAGTCCAGAATCTGCAAGAGTGAAATGAGAAATGAAACTTTATGACAGTCAAAATAAGACAATAAAAAAGAAGTGCAAGCTACATTTTTACTAAGAGTAAACAAAATAAACCAGTCCACTAAAAGATTTATGAAGCTCAAGAAAAGAAAGAGCAAAATATATGAATCATTGAACACAGAAAAGATCCTCCAGTACTTTAGATGTCCACAGTGCACAAAAAAAAAACAAAAAACTAGCAAACATGGACATTGAACTTTTATAAAAAGCACTACTTCAACAAAACCACAATGCTTTTTCAGATTGAGTGCCCGTGTTTAAGCTTCAACATAACTGAATTTTAAAAAATTAATGTTCCTATAACCTATACAGATATTTCCCTTATGAAAGAGAGACTATATAGCAAGTATAGCCAAGCACAAGCAAGGGTATAAAATTCGTCTCCCTCATTCTGGACCAAAGGAATCAAAGGATATATGAGCAGAGTCTATGACGAATTGCTGCTTCAGCAATCTTGCAAACCTTGTGAAGAATATCTACCATAAATAAGAGATCGGTAGTGGTAACTATTCTGGAAACTTCAACTACTAACCATCTATCTACTTCATTTTCCAGAACTTAGCTGGAGAACTTGAATTTAGTTGGAAAGAATGAAAAAGGAAAAGTAAAATAAAATAAAATACAAAGAGCACATTGCAGGTTGTATTGTCAATCATGTAAAAGGGTGTGGAGAAGAAGATCAGAATATCCAGATTCTTAAGGAAGAAAAATCATTAGCATCTCCAGACAAGTGCCATTCCAAGAGTTTAAGGCACAAAAATTAAGACCTTACAGGTTATACTTCGCAGTCACGTAAAAGGGTGTGCACAAGAAGATCTGAATATCCAGATTCTTAAGGCACAAAAATCAATAGTACATGCAAATGCCATTCCCAGAGTTTAAGGATTAAAAGTCAATTCTTAAACAGATTGCTTCGTTCATCTTCATATAAGGTTCTTATGTTAGATTCCTGCAATTTTCAATAAATTTTAAGCTGAGGAGATACTTCAAAGCATGCTTTCTCAGTACTCCAAATTCTTAACTAATTCCAACAACTTAGATTGTAGCATCTTCAGGTTGACACTTCCAATGAGGATGTATCATGGGTCTGCAAGACACTGTAGTTGCAACTTTTCTTTTTTTGTTAGTCAAATTTAAGACAGCAAAGTTTCTGGTATAAGTTATAAGCAAAAACCTTAATGTCAGCACTTATTGCTCCAATACGAAAACTATACTCAAGTGCTAACTACTTCTGAAAGATCATGGATGATGTCAAAATTCACTACACTTTCTTTCTGAGCCAGCCAAATGAACAAGAGAAACCAAGCAAGGTACCAAATAAAAAAGACAGTTTTTTTTATACCTTTCTGTGCTGACAAGAAGTAAATTATACAACTCATAAAGAAAGAGCATCATTTTCTACAAGATTAAGAATACTTATTAGAATAATCCTTGTTTTGTGATTTTTGGTTAAGATATAACTTTTACTACACTTTCTTGACTTTTTGTTCCTTCTACGGCTCTACATTTTAGTATAGTTTCACTCCCTTAGAACTCCGCGTGAAACTTAATTGTACCTACTCAAAATAGTAGACATTCAAAATTCGTGTTAAAAGACAATCTTTTGAGGTCAGCTTAATCTTACTCCTTCAGCAATATTTAGAGTTGCTAAAATGAATGGGAGGCTTAGCATTGAAATAGAATGTTTCTAAGCTGGTCAATTTTCTCTGCTCAAAGCTGGGATTGCCATATTGTAATTCACACACCACAGACCACTGCATCTGACCTCTCATTGCAGAGGTACTTATTACTTTTGCCTATCATTGTTGAGACTCCATTGCAGTCCAGTGTAAGGGATCTAATAGTTGATCTCTATATTCCAAATTTAACGTCCTGCAGACAATGTTATGCATGAAAAAAATTATCTTCTTCCTCAAATTAGCCATTGTCATCAAGCGTTATCTAGACAGAGTAACGAACTGTTTTCTTTTCCTGTGTTTATCTGTTGATTTAAAATTGGACGTGATGACTGTGACTACTAAAATGAATTGAGAAGACATATAAAGACAGAAATTGTCAATTAAGCAGCCAATATCCAAAATGAACTATCAATGCTGGAATGATGATAAAGGAATATAGTGAACGAGATCTTAATCTATATATTTTAAATATGGATTCTTGATGCTGACTAAGCTCTAACGTTACTGGTGGATATTTCTGCTGTCTATTTGTGGTGAAAATATCTTCCTCAAAAGTATATAATGAAATAAATGTCAAGTGCCAACCTTGTGTGCTGAACATATTATCTAATTAATGGCCCTCAATTACTTCGGTAGATAAATTTTGTGTCTGTAGAATAATACCAACCCATTCGTCAACTGGTGTAATAAGATGGTGAGATAAAAGGTGAACTAATTATCATATCTTCTTCAGTATACATGTTAGGGGAAAAAAAAAGTTTCAAAGTTTTCAATGATTCCACCTGCATAGCTCAGGGATGTGGGCAGCCTCTATAAGCACATAATCAATGCTTATTAGAATTTAAACAAAGGAAAGGAAGTGTACCCTGTCAAGTAAATTCTTAAGTAAACAGCAGAATCCAATCCTGCATGATCAATAAGCTCAGGTTCTGGCATTCGCATTGCAGCAGGCATCCAATTCAAAAATCTCAAATATGAATGGAAGTCCAAATTGACAAATTTATGGACAAAAGCGCCTGACTGCAATGGACTGCTTCTCAAACCTTTCAGGTACCACTTTGGGAAATATACCCTATCATTGATTGGCTGAATTCTCAGTATCGCAAAAGCCACAAAGAAAGCAAACGCACTGAGTATATTTATAGATGCTGCAACAGAAATATCAGCAATAGTCGCCATACTGCTTCAATTAGGATTATATACAACCCTGCAAAAGAAAACTGCTTAAGAATTCCTCACACGTGCATATGCAATAAGTCACAGAAAGACACAGAAGAGGTACATAGATAGATAGATCAAGAGAAAGAGAGAGCAACCATGTCTCCTAATCAGCAATTCTAGTTTCATTTTTAAGGGTAATTTACTTTTCTAAAAGATGATCTTTTAAATTAGTAAGGACAAAGATATAGTTTACCCCTTCAAACACAAATCCTGCAGATACATTTTCCTGAATTACCAATTGCATCCTTAAAATATGTACTGGGATCAAGAAAGTCTATGTCTGTATTTTCTTACATTTGTAACCAAATCACCCATATACATGCTTGGAAGCATAATTTCACCTGATATTGCCGAACAGGTGATAGCTGCAGTCCTAATTATGTTAAGACTACTGAATAAAACTACGAGGTTTGGAGTTATCTGGTCTAAGCAAATTGGTGAAGGCTGCAATAGATTGAATATGAGAGAAATCTGAGGTGAAATTCAAGGAAGAAGGTACATTTGATTTAATAAAAATAAGGACTTTTTTACAGACTGGAGCGGTTCTGTGTATTGTTATCGATGTAAATGTCAAAAATGATACAAACAGAATATAATGAACTAATTATTGAGATCACACCCTTCTTTCTTAATAAGGCAAGCACCTAGCATTAAGTCAGTTCTATTCATATGAAATGTGAAAACTATCTAAAGAGTCCGGGAACAGAAATGTACACAATAAAATAGTGTTCAATAGAAAGGAAGAAAAGCAGAGATAGTCAAGGTAGCAGGACATGTCTGTCTGCAATTTGTTTGAGGTAGAGGAATCAAGGGCAAAAATTGCAGGCCCTTCCATTAATTTCTCTTAACTAAGTGTGAGTACTGATTTGCATGTTCAGCATTTCACTACCACTTTCCAGGAGGGATTTCTTAAGAAAGCAAACTACAATAAAAATGCACATCGCTTAAGACACTTTCACATTGTTTTCAATGTAAAAACTACATTTCTCGAATTGCCTTTTGCTCCAGTAATTTTGCACCGCAAATCCCGGGAAAGACATAACTCATCTCTAAAAGATCTTAAATTTCTTCTTGAATCAAAAAGATAAAACTATAAACCCAAAGTAAGGTATATACTGAAAGACTTCAGAGATTTGGCATTCTTCAAAAAGATCTCCACAACATTGAGAAAGAAATACTTTAGATCAAAAGGGAAAAACAATGAAAGTTTAATATACAGTTACCAGAACTACAAACAGGTCTTGACCATCCTTCCCATACATCAAAAAAATACGTAACTGCTATGCACCAAGAGCAAGTACAAATACTGCTTTCAATCACATTACCATTCAATATAGTACAAGGGGACCAAAAGATTATGTGCATAGCAAAATAACAAGTTATATTTCCACCCTGATCATCTCTCCTATAAAAGAATATTGGCCAAACTTAACAACAGGTCATTTCAAGAATAAACTGGACAAAGGTACTCATTGGCTAGGATATTTATCATTCCTAGAAAGATGTTAGCATATATCTAAATTACATACAATGGAGTCTTTGCAATATATATCTTGCAGTAAAAGCACATCGATGCTTGGAAATGGTGAATTCAAACAGTTAATATCAAGTGAAGATGATTGATATACCTGAACTATTTTCTATATCCAACCACCACTATTTTCTATATCACTATTCTAAATTCTTCTTGTTGTTTCGTGTATGTATTCATGCACTTGTCCAGTTTATTGTTGCATTCAAACAAAATATTACAACCAAGTCTTTGAAGGCAAATTAATAGACCTGGGAATTGAAAGAACTAAACTAGCTAAAACCCCTAAACCGACAATTCAACTCTAATTATCCACCACAAAACGCCACATAAAACACTTTTATTCCTAAATACTAGTTGCATCATTTATGAATTATCAAGATTTCCACACCTATATTACTTCTATTATGTCCTAATATGGTGAAACCACAATTCCTTGCAAGAACTTCAATTGGAATACAAAATAAAATGTCATGCCTGGAACACATTAACTGAAAATCTTGTAATCTCCCTATGTGGAAACTAATTACATTAATGGTGTATATGAGACTAATCCCAAACGGAACAAGTATCACTAAGATAAACTCTGCTTCACCATGTTACAAAAAGCAAACACAAGAACACACACTGGCAAGCAAATTAACCACAGATATAGCCAAACAATGTCTGAAGAAAACACAAAACAGACATTTCAGCATAAAAGGCAAAAGGGTTTGGAGATTCATACTCAAATATCAAGGGCCCTCGAAATCTCCTCCCACTCTGAGGATGAACTGAAGACTATTTGAAGAGAAGACAGAAACTCAAAAAACTGCTTGACTGTGGCTCGGAAAACGACACCCTCTAGGACAAGTTAAGACCCTGAAGTGGGATCCTGCATTTTGGGATTTATCAGAGAAACAACAGAAAAGTATTTACACACAGTGCACGCAGTGATTATATATACTATATAGAGTGGCCGAAAAGGTAGTGATATAATATAACGGGAAGGAATTGAGGTGGGGTGCGTGTGAATGCTGTGTGTTTTTCTGTGTGAAATGTGTGGGAATTTTGGTAGCTTTAAATTCTTGTCGGCAAAAAAAGCATGTGTTAACGGCTACTTGGAGGAAATTACCAACGAGGATTCCTTTACGTAGTTAGTTTTGTCAAGCCGTCCTTGCAAGATAAATATATGAAGACAATTTCCTTATTGGACCAGCAATTCAACAAACTCTTACCAAATATTCTATCATGATAAGAAAATTTGTTTACTAAAGAATTTAGAGTCTATTTTAAATAATCACCAGTTAAGATGTATTTCAAGTATTAGATTTTTAGAAGGGTAAAATTAATTTAGAAAAGTATACAAATACAAGGGAGGATAATAATTATATGTACATATACATGACTGATTATATGAAATTTAGGTATGTTAACAAATAAGCATTAGACACCGTTAGATAAACCCAAGATTTTTATAAGGTAATACTTGTGAACATACATAATTTACTGTCTAGGTTCATAATTTATCATCTAGATATGCACGACATGTTTATTGAAAATATTCAAGCTCTCATTAATTCTGAAATGGAAAACAAAGACCGTTAATTATGAAGCACAATTTAATTTATTTAGACTAGTGTATTAGTATGAAATAACTATTTTCAAGGGGTTTTTTTTCTGTCAAAAGTTTTTGGGTGCATTTGAGTAATCAATTTCTTTTTCTATTAAAATCTTGTTTTTATTAAATCCAAAATAAGTTGTTGCTCTATTGTTAGTTATATATATATATATATTGTAAATATTTGTCTGTCTTTTACCACAGAAGATTGCTCCTGTCTGGATATGCAGCTAACATGTTAACCAGTCAACTAATCTGCTGCTTTGGGCCCATATAACTTTTGCCTCTTTGAAAAATGCAAAATGTTTATCTCTCTGTTTTTTTTTTCTTATTTTATTTGGGTTTGTGAAACCTGTTCAAAACTTTTCCATCCAAGTGACGTCACTAAATCCACTAAAGGTCAAAGGTGAGAATATTTTGCTGCGTTAATTATCAGCCCTGCTTACCAAAAATAATATTAGAATATTCATATTAGAGGAGAGAGAATATTTTAATGCCCATAATACACTTGGGCTATCAAAGAAAATGAGCATTTTATAGACCAAGAAAAAAAGAAAGTACTAAGTTGGAACCATTTAAAAGTGAGGGGATGAAAGCTGATAAGGATTTATGTTGGAGAAAAATGTAGTTTTAATATCCAAATTTTGACATATGAGCGGTTTTAGTTCCCAAACTTTGGACAAAAGCAAATATGGTACCCAATTTTTTAACTTTTGAGCCCATTTAGTACATTTAACGATTTTTTTCGAAATTGTAACTGAAAAAAGTCATGTGATTGTCACATATCCGGCAACTATTTTATAAAATATGTCAAACGGTGTTTTTGGAGCTGTTTTGGATTGATCACATTTACTGTAGTATTTGCAATGTGAAAAACAGAGGCAAAAACAAGGAATCCAAACGGACCCGTAATGTATTCTTCTAACACTAAATACCTAGTTTAAGGACTAAATTTAACTTTTTTTTTGTATTTTTTTATATAATAGTTGGTGAACATGTGACTATCAGGTGACTCTTTCCTATTGCAATTTGAAAAAAATCCATCGAAGGTTCTAAATGTGCTTAAAAGTTCAAAGATTGGGTACCAGATTTGCTTTTGTCCAAAGTTTGGGAACTAAAATTGCTCATGTGTCAAAATTTGAATACCAAAATTGCATTTTTACTCTTTATGTTGTAACTAATAATCACTTCTACTATAGAGAGAGATAGTAAAAGTAAATACTATTCTTTAAACCACTTTTACAAATAAAATCCTCCATAGTGTTGAAGGTAATTAATATATATAAGCACATACATTTGAGCAAAAAATCTCAACAATAAATGAAATTCAATTTCAATATCATACAAAGAATTTACTCAAAATAGACTGATTTTTTTCATGAGTGTGAAAAATGAAAATTTTATTGTAAAAAGAAAAAAATCAAAATGTGAAAAATCACAGTGTCTGAAACTTCGATTACTTCATTTTTCTCATGCTCTACATGAATAGGAACAAATAAATAGATAAATATAGTTGCGAAATGCAAAAAAGAGAGAAAAAGAACCTGCAGCTCTTCTTTTCCAAATTCGCTGAATATTTCATTGACATTTACAATTATATATATAGATATATATATGTCCCATTTTCAATTTTAGGCATAAACTTTATACATAATATATTTTTGCCCTACCACTTTATCAATGTGCCCCTACAGACTAAAGTAAAATATACATTTCAAGTACTGTGGAAAAATTATGTTTTTACCCATATAATTAGTAGAAATTCAATACAATTATGTACCTACGAGTAATTTGATAGCATGTTTTTTAATAAAAAAAAAATGATTGCTACAAGCACAAACTCAATGCTATAGGAAGTTCAGTTTACTTGTGAGTATTTCTATACAAAAAAAATAGCACCTTATATTATTATTGTTCCATACCATTTAAATAATTAAAATAGCTCTAATTTATTTGTGCTCCCACTAAAATACTTTCCTGACTCTAAGTTATTGTTGTTTTCTCCAAAATCAGTTAAGAGAATTTTGGAAACAAAATTTGCGAAATTCTTATGAGTTCATTTCGTATCTCAAGTCTAACCAAACAATTTTTTAGCAAATTGTGCTGGACGACTTTCAGCAAATTTTGTAACAGAATTTTTATTTTCTTACCCTGAACCAAAAAAAGAAACTTAAAAGATTGGATACAAGTGAAGTACTCTGGGTCCAATAATAATTTTCTGTTATATTTTAAACGAAAACTTTATATTCACAGTCTGAAATAAATTAAACACAAACAAGAGAAGTCTATCTTTATAAATGAACAATGAAGAAAAACACCTAATTTAGCCTGCCAGAAATACATGGGCAGGAAGACGAAATATGATTCTGAAATCGGGCACATAGTGCATGCGTGCATGCACACAATAGTAGTATGTCCAAATTCTGTTTCCCTGTCAATCGACCTATTATAACAACATTATCACTGCATGGGCCATGGCGCACTCCTCCGGTTTGGTGCCCCCGACTCGGATCCTTGGTGTGCGGACTCGGATCCTATAGATTCGAGTCGGGGCATTTTCCGAACTACTAAAAATAAAAAAAAAGATTCATAGGAAATTGATAGAAACTTTGTTCAACACAAAAGCTTGTCTTTCATCAAACAAGAGATGTTTTAAAAAAAAAAATCAATTACAAATTTTAATTAATTGAAATTGTTTGGTACAATCATCCGAATTATCAGCCCCACAATTTTTTTATTATAACATTATTATTATCATTACATTATTCAAGGTTGTTGAATCGTTTCAATCATTTGAAATACTTTTCAATGTAGATTAACATGTCATCATTGAATAGGAGATTTGGATGAGAGGACCCTATCCCTATGGTGTGAATAAAGAATGTGCAAGTCAAAGTAAGTGAACTCCAAATATTAGAATCTACACAAGAAAACACCGTAGTGATGGAAACTAGTAGTGTTCTGACTCCTGAATGCCATCGAAGCATCATCATCTCCGACATTACAAAAATAATGTATGTGAAATAAAATAAAAAAATAGTCAAAATTTTAAAAATACGAGTTGAAAAACGTATTTATGATACAGGCAAAATAATATTTGAAATAATTTTGTATCTAAATACCATTCAAGGTTGATCAAGAAATTTTTTTTTCTTTTTTTTTTTTTCCTATTTGGTGATTGATTAGTCAGTGTTAAAGTTTAATTAGATGCTCAGGCAATTGGAATCTTCTGGTATAAAACATCAAACAGCATTCTTGACATCCTAATGGGACAAGGAAAGGTTGTGCAATGGTGATTATTTATGGTATTATATAACCAAATAATCTTATCCGGTTTTAATTAGTTTCAAATATGACACTCACTATCCTTTTATATTCAGCTTATGTTCAACTTTCCCGAGAAATGTTTTTTTTTGTCCCCTCCTGCTTTGTAAAGTCTGTCCCCTCTTCGACCGCGCCCTTATTGGGTCTCATCACTCTATTGTTATCACGTCACTTAATTCATATTACCATCTATTTGCTCATACTTATAGTCATTGCTGAGAACCGAGCAGTTCAAATTGTAAAACGAAGACCCTTAACTATAAAGCTAATCCGATATTTTTAAGGGATTTTTTATGATTCAGTGATCATAGTACACCAAATTACAACTAATACCAACATTTGGTCGGACAAACGCTGAACACGAAGTTAGAATAAACTCACGGCTTGTGAAATTTGAACCTAAAGTTCTTGAATCTGGGATCTCAACCTTGATCTGTAGACGGATTGTTTGTCACGAATTTTGAGATTTGCAATATTTGACTCCTTGAATCATTGCTAAGCCAAGCATATGTTAAATAGGTTTGAGCTTTGTCTTTTTCTTTTTCTTAAAAGATATCGAAGTCAATTAAAGGATGTGAGATATTTATACAGAATTTTTTTTGTTCTCCCTAGATTTTTTTTCTTTTTAATTATAGTGAAAGCACATTGATTCTAATTGAAATACTGAAAAGCATATGATAATCTAAATAGCCTGAACTGTGACACGGTGAGTAAGGCTGTCAAAAGGCCCATCTTGGCGCGAGCTTGGTCTTAGAATTAATAATTAGGCTTTGTGCATAAATGGGCTGCACGAGTTTTCGACTTGAAATGGGTTCAGTGTTAGCATGGGCCGGATTTGAACGAGACTCAACCTAGTATAAATAGTTTTTTTTTTTTTTTTTTTTTTGGAACAAGCACTTGTTTAGTTTTACAAAATCCCACATATAAGCGTATTAAGTAAACCAATACGCTTCTTGTCATTTAAAGTAAATTAGTACCAACTAATAAATTTGTGATACTAATTACAATTATTTTTTTTATATTTTGAGTGCCTAAAACTTTGAAATTTGTAATTAAAAT